ATTAATATGTCGTGAATAGAATCAACGTTTTAATTCAATATAATCACACTAATTTAAAAGTATCAAATTGATACCAAAAATATCAAATTGATATAAATATTTGTATCAATTTGATACATTCAAATTTGTGTGAAAGTATCGATTGAAATATTGCAATCATATTTTAGAAATGATCCTAATATCCGTATTTGACACAAGAAAAATGTGCTTGTATTCGCCACCTTTTTAAATAAAAACATTTTTTAAACACAAAACTTGTGTATCTTTTTTTATTGGTTATTGTGATCCTTGAATATTGATTCTGATATTTTTAAAAATAAATTGGCAGCAATGAACCAATCAAATGAGGGTTTGAGAGTTTAACAAACATGATGGGACAATTCTTTGGAGAGTGTTTTTTTTGTACATACATATACATATATATATGTATATATATATAAGACCGGTTAAATTACCCTGATGAATATCAAGTGCGATTCGGCATAAGTACGATATAAATAACACTGTAAATGCAGCGTGTAATGCGATGTGTGTTTAACTTCAACGTATATCAAACTACACGTTGTGTAAGTCTCACCGATAACGAGATACACGTGTTTTCTTCTAAACATAGATCGCTAGGAATATTCTATAAACATATATATTCCTATATATCGAGGGACAAACTTTCCACAAGTGAAGGTGGATAAACTATTCGGGGGCATCGCCCTTATTCCCTCCCCCCCAAAAAAAAGAAAGAAATATTTAAAAAATAATTTATTTTACACTAAAATTAGTGTTCACAGATATATTTAATGAAAATCGGGTTCAAAAATTAAATCATCAAGAAATATCCTATTGATCGAAAATGAATATTTAATTTAAATAGTAGGTATTTAAAAGTTTTAATTTACTATATAGAAAATAAATATTTTCTGTAAAAGTTTTTTCAAGTCCAAATGTTTAAATGAATGAAATATGTCGATTTGTATGATTTTTTAGTAGTGAAATTTTTTTTTACCGTCGGTTGATAAAACAGATTAGACTGATGACAATTCTTAGTTAAAAGTATTTTATCGACTGCTGGTAAAATAGATTATGGCGATAATAATGCTTGGTGGAAAAAACTGATCTACTTTGCTGATAAAACAGTTTGGACGGTTTAAAACTGTTTTACCAAGCTCTATAATAACGTAGAGTTGACTGATTATTAAATACGCATATTCCAATGACAAAACTATTGTACCGACTGCTGGTAAAACTTTTTTGGCGGTTTACATAAATTTAAATCTGTTTTACCGACTGCTGCTGAAACAGATTTGATAAATTACATCGGTAAAACAGATTTAAAATAATTATTTAGTGTTTAATTAAATTAATTAAAAATTTAATTATTAATTGAATTTTTTCTCTTTTTCAGGTAAATAGTGCGGATTTTTTTTAAATTCATTAAATTTTTTCCATTTTTACGGGAGTGTTCGAACTTATTGAAAGTGACGGTCGTTTAATATATATAATTATAAAATATTTTCATTTTCTCTTATTCTCGTTGTGCGTGTCGTGTCGGATTTAAAAATTATTAGCTTCGTGAGTGTTAATTCGATAATTTTATAATCGCGAACGAAAATTTTCTTAGGGTGTTTAAAATTCGTTTTCGTTGTTTGTCTTTCGTTTTAAATACATCAAGACAACTCGTTACGCGCGCGTCCGAATTACAATTTAAATCGCGTTCGTCTTTTTTCGCGAATAGTGAAAGTTTTTTTTAAATTGGGAAGAGGGGGGGGGGTGGGAGGGCTCATTTGAAACTATTATGCCAGGGATTTCGAAATGTCTTATTGAGCATTGAATAATTTTTGATAAAATTTTTTTTTTTTTATGAAAAATTATTTAATCTCATCACTATGTGGCTGTATACTTTTGTAAGTAGTTGCAGCCATCGACCCGCTAGTGGGATAAGACCAGCGAGCTACGCATACCCAACTGCACATCCTTTGCGCAATTTATTTTTTTAGTTTGCGTAAGTTGCATTTTACACTCACGGTAATTTTAATAAAAAAATTAATTTTGAAAAGTATTTTTCATATCAAATAAAATTTTTTTTTATAATATGTGGCGCATTTTTGTGTGAAAGCAGACAAAATCTTGGTTTGTTCTTCACTACTATTTTTAAATAATACAATTTTATTAAAAATTAGATTAATTAAAGGAAAATAGGTGTCATGAAAAATTCATTTATTGTTTTTCAAATTTTTTAAGTCAAAATTAATCTACACAGAGGAAATCGTAAACTGAAATTAAGAATATATTCATGGCGCATATTTAAGAATATTTTATATACTTAAATTCAGTATATATTCTTATTTTAAGAATAATATATTCTTAATTTAAGTATATAAAATATTCTTAAATATTATTATTGCATATGTAAGAATATTTTATACTTAAATTAAGTATATATTATTCTTAAAATAAGAATATATACTGAATTTAAGTATATAAAATATTCTTAAATATGCGCTACGAATATTATTCTTAATTTCAGTTTACAGTTTTTTCTGTGTACTATTCAAATTTAATATTATGATGTTGGCATTAAATTTATTATAAAATCTACATCTACTTTTCTTTATTTAATAAATTTTTAATAAAATTATAATATTTGAAAGTAATATGGAAAAATAATGATCGGGGTTTGTTCGCTTTACGTTAAAAAAGTTTTGATCTATCGGCAAATAGAAAGCATAATTGATTTAAAAAAAAAACGAATATTTTTTAAAACTAGAGAAGTAAATTAAAATATTACCAAAATTAAATGCCAATGAGTATAAAAAAATTTTTTTCTAATAATGCATAATTATTTAATTTTTTCCAAATAGCACAACATATGACCACAATATTGCCTATATATATTGTGGTTATGTATTTTACTAGTTGGATTTAAAGAATTATTGTCTGTTTTAATAAATTTTAAAATTATATACTCTTCCTAGAATGGAATTTTATTTTACTATTAAAATATGTAAACTTTATTTTTTTTAAATATTTACTTTAAATTATATAAAATCATTTTTTTATAATACATCTTTTTTTGATGAGTGTTTAAAAAAAGTGTATGCTTATTCTAACCAATACAATGAATTTCAAAAAGGTTGCGGCATGTTTTGTTTTGCGAAAGGACACCTTCTTGGCTGCTTCCTTAAAGGTAAATTTGAAGATAAGCTATATCAGCTGGTCTTAAAATTTACCCTTAGGGTTGCTTTAGGGCTCAAGAAAGAAGAGGACCCCATTGGACCTGGACCCTATTGGACCTGGACCCCAGAGCTGTATAATTAAGGACCCATCATCAATTCAAGTAATTTTTTTTTATTTTTAATAACGCATGATATTTATACTCTCTAAATCTGAATCAGTAGAAATTTTACTAATTCAATCAGTACTTTTCATTTTAACTGAAGTTTCAGTTATTATTATTATTCAGTTATTTTTTGAAATTTACTAATATAATTAGTGAATATACAAGCAATAGAAAATAACTTATTCAAAACAGTAATTTGTATATAACATAACCTTTAAAATTAACTATTAAATCAGTAGATTTTGCGGTCGCCGCCATATATTTATATTACTGATTCAATCAGTAATTGATATTTTACTAATTGAATCAGTAAATTTCTACTAATTATCAGTTGCTCAATTCTCGCTATGGCAATTAGTAGATTTCTACTGCTAATCAGTGAAATAAGACTGATTCAGATTTAGAGAGTAATATTTATATTTCTAACACTGTAAAAAGAAGGTATTAAAATAGTACCGATTTTAGGTATTAAGATAGTACCGATTTTAGGTATTAAAATAGTACCGATTTTAGGTATTAAAATAGAACCAAAAGGCAATTTAGTACCTAAAGTTGGTATTAAATTACAGTGAAGGGGTCGTTTATAAACTATGTTACCTATTTTAGCGTCAAAAAGTCTAAAAAAAATGCATTTAACGCAATGATAACGAGGGGGGGGGGTCTAAAAAGAATGAAAAATTGGTAACTTATCATCTGCCCCTAATTTAAGAATTATATTTTCAATTATTTAAAACTGATGTTATAAAATACTATCTTTTTCCACAAATACGAGGAAAAAACGATTTAAAAATAATTTTTAATTGATGTTGAAATTTTAAATTCGTTTACTAAAATTGAAATAGTTTTTCAATTCGAATTTGTGAAAATATTATTTAAAAATAATGTATCTTGTATATATGAAACGTTAAGAAATGAAAAATTTTATTTTCAATTTTTTTTTTCTTTGAAAAATATTTTTTTTACTATATAGATTAGGTGGAATGTTTTGAAAAAAATATGTATTTTTTTTTTTTTTTTGAAAAAAATGACGAGGAATACAAAACAGAGCCAATGTTAAATATAGTAAAAGATATATATTTTTCTGGTTGCATCTCTCCGGCTCACACTTGTAATAACATGAGAGTCCAAAAATCAACCGATTCGAGTGTTTTAACTATACGAACACACACGGTTCTGGCAAGTCTCAATTGGAAAATTTGGTTTTCTTTTCCGGCATTCGAGGTGATACACGTGTATACTCGCGCCTCATTAGCTTAACTCTAATTTTGTCGATATTATCTTTTTTTTTTTTAAAAAAAAGAAAAACAAAACGTTTTTACAAATGCTAGAAAACTATAATTATAACGAAAAATTAAAAAATCTTTTTTATTTCGTTACGGATATTTTAAATTTTATTATTACATTTTGTAATATAAAATATTTTTCAAATTAAAAAATTACAAATCAAATTTAAAAAAACAGAAAAAATTCAATAAAAGAAAAAAATTAATTAATTTTGATATAGATTATAATATTAATATATTAGGTATTATATTATAATTTTTGTATTTTGTAGAAATCGACTGTCATATATTTATATTTGAATATTTTTTTCTATATAAAAATCGAATTGAGGGTTAATTGAAAACAAAAGTTTTTTTTCACAGTGACATATTTTTGTGTTTACAGGTTCGTGTAGTGTTTATCGTTTCTTCGATTTGTGCGGTGAATTGTGTGTGAATTTACTATGATGCAATCAACATTGTCGTCGAGTGTCAATAAAATTGCTGACAATAACAACAAAAAGATATTAAATAACGTGGGCAACTATCATCTGTTGAGAATTTTGGGAAAAGGAAATTTTGCACGAGTCGCCGAAGCGTTTCACACCGTTCTTCAGTCTAAGGTTTTTATCTATATATACTATCATCAAAAAGTAATTTTTTTTTTATCTCGTCCTTTAATCATTTATGCCCCCTTTTTTTTGTCCCGATTATTTTTCGTTTCGTTCTGCAATTTTTTTTTTTTCACTTTTTTTGGTGAATGAAAATATATATGTGATTCCAGAGACGATTAAATTAATTGAGCCCAAGCTTTTACAAAATTATTTCGCTATCTTATTGCGATCCCATTAAAGTACTTTACGACACGCACAAGTTATGTCGATTATTTTTGATTATTTATATATATATATATATTCTGGAAATATGTTAACAACTTGAATCTGCAAATTTAACCTGAAAATTCTGTTGTATTGTAATTTCTCTTTTTGTCCTTTTTTTGGTGAATATATATATATATATATATATATATATATATATATATATATATATATAGATATTTACATCGTAGAACAAAGAAAAAAGCGTAAACTGAAATTAAGAATATAAATATTTGTGTGGCATATTTAAGAATATTTTATACTTAAACTTACAAGTAACACTACCCAAGTGTAAAACTGGGATCGACTTTTGCTTTGGACCATTTTGTAGAGAATTGAAAAATATTTAATACGTATTTTTTTATTTTGGAAGACATGATATTTTAGGGGTTGAAAATGGGGGTTAAAAATAAAAAAAAACCCTCAAATGTGTGTAAAGTTTTTATTTAGATAAATTTTTTAAAATTCAGTCGATTCCCATGAAACTCGTTACTCAGGGGTTTTCGGGGTCGCTGATTACGAATATGAAGTCCGATTTGCAAAATTCAAAATGGCGGATCCAATATGGAGGATGATTTTTTTAAATTCAGCTGATTCGCTTGAAACTCGTTACTCGGGGGTTTTCGGGGTTGCTGATTACGAATCAGAGGTCAGTTTTTCAAAATTCAAAATGGCGGATCCAATATGGCGGAAAATTTTGAAAAAATTTAATATATTCATCTGAAGTAAGTAGTTTAAAGTGATTTTAAATATTTGTCCGCCATTTTGAATTTTGAAAAACTGACTCCGGATTCATTTTCAGCGACCCTAAAAACCCCCGAGTAGAGAGTTTCAAGCAAATCCGAACGATTTTTTAAAAAAGTCCGCCATTTTGAATTTTACAATTCGGACTTCATATTTGTAATCAGCGACCCCGAAATGCATTTTAATTTTTAACCTCTGTTTGATTTTTGTATTTATATATGATGCAATATTACATAATAGGTTTATTACCTATCGTATTTTTTTTGAGTTTTTATATAAGTTTAACAATTGCAATACTTTAAATTTATTTTCCCTAAGATTTTTCTGAAATACAGTGCGGCGTTCGTATATTTACCCCTGTATTTTAGGAAAGTTGCAAAGTATCGAGGTAAATACGAACGCTAAGTTTTCTGCGATTGTAATTTATCAAAAATTTTTGCTACCCCGTATAAAATTGTTCTATGGAAGTTGAAGTAACAACTTCATGCACCAGAATACCGGAAGTATTGTCTTTTAAAAAAGAAAAAACTTATGTTATTATTGAAACTTACTAAAAGCGTGTTTGGATTTACCCCGACTGACCCTACTGAATTTAAGTATAAAATATACCTAAATATGCGCCATACGAATATATTCTTAATTTCAGTTTACGGTTTTTCTGTGAATTTTAAAATTCAGAATAAAAATCGATTTTTTTCGGAATGTTTTTTGCATTTTAAAGTCGATTCGATGTCAAATTCGAAAAAGTGAAAAATTGCTTTGAAAATATGAAAATTTTCCGAAAATTTTGTTAATTGGATATTTTCGGTAAAACCGTTTTTTTTTTTTTTTTTTAAACACGTTTCAACTGGAAAAACTCATGAAAATAAGTTTCATAGAAAAGAGAGATTTAAATTTTTCTAAAGATCGGACCCATTTTCATCATCGACTATAAAAATAACAATCGCGCAAAGGTTTTTAGAAATCCGGGAGTAATAATTACCGTGTACAAAAGTTTTTTTTTTTTTCCCTTTAACGTTTTTTTTTTTTGCTTCCCCCTCCCATCTCTCACTGTTTGACATTGAGCTTTTTCCTACTATGTATAGTACCGTTTATACATAGTGGACACTATGTCACTATATGGGGTCTGTGTCAGGAAGTAATTTATGGGTCGAAATCCAGCAATACTCGGGACAGAATCTAGTAGCGAGGCTCTTCACGGGATTTTAGGGATTTACAATGGAGACTGCGTGTCGTAACGAATTAGTTCACACATTGGTCACTTGGTAGATTCGCGGCACAATATTCAAGAGCCCGGTCAAGGAAGAAAAAAGTGCACTCGAAAAAAAAAAAAGAGGGACGATTTGAAAGGAATAAAAAAAAACTGTTGTGAGTTTTTTTTTTGAGACACTATTATTTAAATTTGAATGGGAGGAAAAAAATGAATGAAAGGAAAATTTTTTTTTTTTTACCTAGTTTCGTTGATTTCTCGCGTTTCCTTTTGAAATTTGGCGAAAAGGAAACTAACCTTGAATGGAGGGAAAAAAAAGTTTTGTTATATTTATATTTTATGTTTCCGATTCGGAAAATAGTGAAATTTTTTTCTATTTTATATTTAACATGAAATTTTAAGTTTTTTATTAGAAATTGTCAAATTATTAGTGGCTTGGTTTGTAAGTGACGGAATTTGTAATTTTGTGTCTTGGGTTCGAATCCCCTTGGGTGGTAGAATTTTATTAGGTCTCGGATTATAAAATTTTTGCGATTTTTTCCGATTTATTTTCTCAAAATGAAACTTTTTTCAACTTATTTTTAATATAGGACGACTTTTTCGATTTATTTTACGAAATTACACAGAGAAGAATGGAAAACAAAAATAAGGTAATTTTTACTATACTTTCAAAGTAAATTTTAAATTGACTCGAATTTTTGCGCATTTCTGGCATCTTTTACTCTGGAAATAGTAAAAAAAGTACAATATTTCCGTATAAGTAAACTTTATTATTTCAGAAGTAATTTTTTCTATTTCTGATGCAAAAGTTGCCAGAAATGCGCAGAATTTCCGGACAGTTTAGAATTTACTTTACGCAAGTATAGTAAAAGTTACTTTATATTGTTTTCCCTGCAGCGGATATTATTAATAATAATAATTATTAGTTACTCTCTAAATCCGAATTAGTACACAGAAAATTAAAAGGCATTAAAATAAACTGCAACGCTTATTATTTTAATCCAATTTTGCTTATTTTAATCCATTTTGGTATTAAATAAGCAAAATTGGATTAAAATAATAAGCGTTTTGCAGATTATTTTAATACCTTATAACTTTCTGTGTAGTTTTTTACTAATGAAAGAGTATTTACCGATTCGTTTACCAATTGAATTAGTAACAGTTTTGACTCTTTTTTAGTAGAAAACGACTAATTGCTGGTAGAAAAGTACTAATTCATGGAGTAAATCGGCTTACTGATTTAAAATAGTAAAAAATACGATTTACTCCATGAATTAGTAGTTTCCTACTAGCAATTAGTAGTTTTCTACTAAAAAAGAGTCAAAACAGTTACTAATTCAATTGGTAAACGAATCCATATATACTCTTTCATTAGTATAGAAAACTACTAATTCAGATTTAGAGAGTATGAATCTGTACAGCCAAAAAAAAAGATTTATTTGATTCAAAGAAATCAATTTCTTTTACATATTTTTCTTTAATACAAAAAAAATTTATTTGTTTCAAACAAATATATCTTCGATTCAAAAAAAAATTTCTTCGTTTCAAAGAAATTATTTATTTAATTCAAATAAATGTTTCTTTCACAGAAAATTAAAAGGCATTAAAATAAGCTGCAACGCTTATTATTTTAATCCAATTTTGCTTATTTTAATCCATTTTGGTATTAAAATAAGCAAAATTGGATTAAAATAATAAGCGTTGCAGCTTATTTTAATACCTTATAATTTTCTGTGTTGACCCTATATCGCAATGTTAGAATTTCTTTGTTTTAATGCACGCAAATTTCTTTTATTCAAAGAAAATTTTGAAATTAAGAATCTTTTTTTGTTTCAAAGAAAATTTTATTTTGAATGAAAGAAAACAAGTCAAAAAAATTGGTTTCTTTAAATCAAAGAAATCATTTCTCTGTGTGTATACTATTTTTTGTTTAAATAATTTTTAAAGTAAAAGTTGTTTTCGTTTGTTTGTTTCTTCTAAAGTTTCGTTTGTTTTAATATTTTAATGAATTAATGATAAATGTCAAATATTTTTTTTCTGTCGATAATTTCCGGGTGTAATAATCGTAAAATAATTTTTTTTTTGTTTTTTTTAATATTATAGAGGAAAAAAAAGACGACTCCTTAATCCTCGGGGAGGGAAAAACGATTCCCATTTCCTATATGGGTAACGCTTTAATTCGATGACGCGATCTGGAATGATTTAATCGCCAAGACAAGAAGGGGCGCTACTTGTTCGCCCCTTTTGTATTTTATCGATGGTGTGGTCCTCTTGAGATGGGAAGTGCGTTATATAGGTAAAAAGGACAAAGAGCACGGGACAATATCTTATAGGGGGTTGTTTTTTTGTTCATGGTTCCCCTTCGAACCAATACCAAATACACACATATATATATATATATATATATATATATATATATATATATATATATATATATATATATATATATATATATATATATATATATATATACATGACGAGCCCTTGTTCGTATAGATCAGTAAAGTGTCATTGGTCAAGGATCTGTGCTAAAGAATATACTCATGATTAAAGAAAATATTTGGATCGTCCACATGAATTTTTTTCCTCTTCCTCTTTTTTTTCCATTGATGAAGGGAAATGGGGGGGGGGGGGGTATGGAGACCGAAACTGATCAAAGTGACGACTCTTGACTCTCATCTCTAATAATAATTTTCTTTCTTTGTATAAAGTATATTGGGGAAATTTTTCTCAATATATTTTTCGTGAACACGTGCGATGTCCGAATGGCTTTTCAAAAGAATAAGGCACA